ATTTGTTTGGAGGAGTATCTGGTTTCCTTTATTTAAAGGATGAGGCTCATTTTTATGGACTTTCTTTGCAGTCTGCAGGGCTGGAAATGTGCTTTCCACTTTCCATCTCCCTTTCCCAAACTCAATCAGAACTCCTGGAGATGGACAGGAATTGCAGGATGGGGTTGGTGGGTGTCCTGGAGGGGCTGGGGCAGCTGTGGGGAGAGGTGACAGCGTATGGCATGATGCCAGGACTGAGAGGCACCAGGGAGACCATCCCATTGCAAAGGGACAATGGTTTTATTTTTCCATGCAGCACACAAGCCACAAACTCACAGACACGTGTTGGCCCAGGGGCCAGGAGGACAAGTGTTAAATCTGCTGAAGATTGAAGATATGGAGCTCTGCAGGAGCTACAAAACCTCTGGTGCCCTGGACACGGGTGGGATGCCCTCTGTCCCACCAGCCTTCTTGAGTTTGCTGGGAAGGTTGGGGCCTGCCAAGGGGGAGAACAGAAAAAGGGAGTCCCTCAGGGGTACAACGTGAAGGAAATGGCCAGGAAGATGAAGGTCTGAAGGTCAAAGGACAGGCATGTGAGGAGGACACGGGGCTGAGCAAAGCACCCATCCATCCATCACCCAACAGAGCTGAGGGTGGGGACAGGTTCTCCCCCTCCCCTGAAGGGTGGTGTTGGCTTTTGCATCTTGATGTGCTCCTGTCCATGCCACGGGTTGCGTTGAGGGGGATCCATGAGGAGCTCTGGGGTGGCTGGAGGTGGCTCTGTCCCTGGGAGAGCTGGGCACAACCCTGCCTGTCCTCTCTCAGAGCAGGGCAGGACATCTCAGGAACAAGGGTTGGACATCCCAGGAGTGGGACAGAACCTCCCAGGAGTAGGATAGGACATCCCAGAAGGTCTCCATGCCACCAGGGATGGGTCCCTCTAGGTTTATCTACAGCCTGAAGTGCACGTCCCCTCCCTCCTGCTGCACTTCTCTGCAAGGCCACCACCTCCTTGCTGCTCTCTGCCCTGAGGTGTGGGATGAACTCTGCCATGGCCACCAAGATGGAAATCAGCTTGGTTTTCCTAGCCAGCCCTGGTGGAGGTGGGCACGGGCACCTCCCTGAAGGGTGGGAGTGCATTTTTGGCTGGATGCTCAATGCCTGTTGAGTTACACTGGCTGAATCCTCTCCTCAGCCAGGGGGACAATGGGGCCACCTTGATTCCAGGACAGCCTTCAGGACCTGATGTCTTGGAGGGCTGCCTAAACCTCTGCAGCATCTCTGGTTTGCTCTGATAGGGGTGAAGGAGGCCTGTGAGCGTTGGCACATGGAGGAGGATGAGGATGAGGGAGGTTCTGGAGGCCAGGGAAGACCTGGCTGCCTGGGGAGAGGATGATGAAGAGTCTGGGAGGGCCCCAGCAGTGGAAACAGGAGGAGATGTTGGCCAGAGTGAGCGTGCAGGTCTGAGCAAACACTCTTTTTGAGGGCAATACCAAGAGTTTGGGTTTCATCCCTGCAGGAAAGACCAAACCCTCACCTGGCTTTTGCAGGACTGCATCTATCACCCCAGGAACCCTGTCCTTGGCTCTGCAGGCTCCCAGCCCCAGGCTGGTGCTCCTATTTCCATCCAGCTTCCTCAGGAGATCTGGCTCCTCCAACATCTGCCTGGGTCTCAGCCCCTCCGAGCAACCCCTGGTCTTGCTTGGCAGAGGTTGAGGAGGAGGATTCATTTTGGAAGGGTCCATCCAAGCCAGGGCTGGGTGTGGGTGAGACCCCTCACCACGGAGACGTGGCTGGAGAGGGAGGGGCTCTGCTTTCCCCATCACTCATCAGGCCTGGTGCAGATCCCCACAGCAGGTGATGGTTCCCAGTCTGGGCCAGTGCTTCACTGGAGCTCACTGGGGAGCACAGGGGAAAATCTCTTTGACCTTCTGCTCAAAGCCATGATTTCTCCCTCAGCTTTTGTTGCTCCTTGCTGTGCCAAAGGCTCCTCTAGACAGCCCTGTGCACCAAAAAGCCTGAGCCTGGACAACCTGGGGACACCCCTGTCCAAATCCACGAAGGGACAAGGGTGTGTCCAGCTGGGTGCCTCAGTTTCCCTGGGGGCTAAAATGGGGACAATGCCTGCAGGGTCTGGTGGGTGATTTTGGTTTTGGTTTTTTT